CTTAAGTAATAGCAACCTCATTCTTCATATATTAAATAATGAACAAAAGCACATTACTTTATAGATTCATGAATAGGTTTGAAGAAACACATCATCAAAGAGACATTCTCATTCACAAGTAGCATAAGAAGAAGTATATCTACTAGTCAAAATAAGTTTTCAAAGTTTCTCGGAGTGGAAGTCGCATTTCGGAGTCAAAAATTTTGACTTCTGAGTGTTCTAGAGCTGATATAGATATTAGTATAGGAGCATGCTAACAAGTCAACGGTACTTTACACTCCACACCCATAGTCCACACTCACACTCACGCTCTCATTTACATACTCTCAATCTCATTCACATTCAACATTCCACATGCACACACACATCCAGAAATTCTACTCTACAAAGCTATGACATAATTCTATTTTTCCTCTTATTCTTTTAAAATAAATGTTTCTCGATGTAGTGATTGATATTGAAAATTCTTCATGCATTCAACGATCCGAAGTATATCAATGTCTTGTTAATCTTTACAACTTATGTGAAGACTTTCTTCTATTGTATCTTTCGAAAAAGTCATGTTTCTTGATGAGTTTCATGATAATTTCCATATTTTAACGCAATACTCAGTTCTTTGTATGCTACCTAATGATATCATTATTGTAATGAAGATTCAAAGTCAACTCTTCTCGACTGTTAATAAACTAGTTTAGAAATTAGGAATTACGAAGACACTGTTGCTTCTAGATTTTTTTTGTATCGAGCTGATAAAATTATGTTCAACGATTTTGAAACAAAACTTGATTTCAAAGTATTTTGCATTTTTTTTTCTTTCAAAATCTACTTTTTTCACAATATACTAATATAGAAATCATCTTATATTAATTTAACTTTAGTAAAATTAATGTTAGCATTCCTTTATATTTAAAAGTGCTGTTTTGATAGTATTATTGGAAATTTTTTTTTGTTTTCAATCACAAGAACTGTATTATCTTGTTAATTCTATTTACAATGAATTCTAATGGAAAAACAAATCTGATCTGTAACTTAGCGCCCTCTATTGAAGTGAAAATTAAAGTCGATTTTTCGTTGTTATTGCTAGCGAATATAACCATTCCAAATGCTGAAATCTGTGACGAATTAAAGTAATGATGGACAAATGACAAATAAAATTTTCATCAGTATTTCTTATAGTATTTATACCAATCAAATGCAAAATATCCAGACTGACTAACTATTCCTTCTGATAGATAGGCTTCTCGTTTTTTTTTATACGTTACTAGAAAAAAATCGTTTATAAGTTGTAAATTTTATTGAAGCAATAAATTCTTTGTTTCAGATTTCCATTAGAAATATTGTTTTTCATTATCTAATAGGTAATACATACAATGAAACAAGTTATAAATGATAAAAAGAAGAAAAAGAAAATTTTAACAAAAAAATCATCGAAAAAGAAGAAACTTTTTCAAGATCCATTTCTTCGTGAACTCAATCAAAAAAAATCTACGAAAAATGAATTAAAACTTCCTATTCTTCCAACAAATTCTATCAAAGAAGATGATAAAATTTATTCACGAACAACAGCAAATAAAATTCATATAGCTCGTCTTTTACCAAAAACTCGTCTTCAATTACCAACACATACACTTCGATCTGCACGAACATTTACACAATGTCCATCGATGAGTGTCGTGAGTAATGAAGAAACAAATACTCAACATCGTCAATTACCTGTTATATGTTCACGTGGTGCACTCAATTTTCATGCTCGACGATTGGGTACAGTGAAACGTGTAGATAATGAATATCGTCTAGGACAAAATAAAAAACGTACTGCTGGAAAAATTAAAATTGATCAATTGTAGTAGACTAATCGTCATATTAATAAATTGAAAAAGAAGAAAAAAAAAACATATCTAGATAAATCTCTGCTTTTTTTTTGTTTTATTTATTTCGATGATAAAATAGAAGATATTAAAATAATTTCTAATTTCTTTTACAGATCAAAAACAAAAATAATTTATTCTAAAAAAAAAAGAAGATCAATATTCAAACAGTAATAATATTCATATAAATTTCCTTGCAAATCGAGTTTCTTAAATTAATTATCTTTAATGAAAAAATTGCAATATCTCTTTAAAATCTATAGACTAAATAATCGACTTTTATGCTTGCTTGCTTGTTTGGTCTTCTCTATGATTAACATAAATAGAATAGAATATTTTTATTTACACTAATGTACACAAAATGAAAAATTAAAGAAAATCCTTTTTTTATACATAGTTAAATAGTACTTGACGAATTGACTAAGAATCTGTATTTTTTCAATTTCCTTTATAAGACTTTTAATTAAAAAACCAAATTCCGTTTCATGCGGATTGTAAAATTGATATGTTTAGATTCGTTATGAGCAACTGACTTTATGAGACTAATTTTAAAGTTAGTCTTGCAAGATTAACTTTTCATGATGAATCTAAACATAACAGTTTTACAGTCCATATGAAACTAAATTTAAGAAAATTCATATTCTTAGTCATCTTGTAAATTTCTATTTAACATTGCATAAGAGAAGAACGAAGAAAAAAACAAATTTGCTTGCTTTAATTTTGCATATTGTGTACTTTACAATAATTCCTTTTTAATACTAAATTAAGATGAATAATAATAATAATTATTATAACGGATTTCAACGAAATGCTAATTATCAACGACGATCCGTTAGTTTTGGTGAATCGTCACTTCGAATGGATCTCGATGATGAATCTGAAATCTGTTGTGAGAATCAAACTACAAACTATAATCAAAATAGAAGACAATCCGGCGAGGATGATTATATTTGTGTTCCTTTACCACGAAGTAACAATCAACCGACAGCAAAAACATGCTGGTTAGTTTTAAATGTTTTCATCGTCACGTGACACCGTTCCTATGATATAATTTGTTTGTTTTTATAGAATAATACATTAGATTAGGAAAGATAGTTTTTATGTAGAAGAAATATCGATTTTAAATTATGCTTTTTATTATAGATAATAATAAAAAAATATTTGGCTTTCCTATTTAAACAATTGCTGTCTTTTACCTTACCTTGTTTTTTTTTATCTTTTCTCTGCTTCTATGTGCGTGAGAAAATGTTTTGTTATCGACGTACTCTTGTACATTTAAATTCTATTATTTGTTTGCGGCGCGAAATTTCTTTAGCTAAAATAATGACATCATCACTTTCTAATACAACATCGAGACGATCAATCTCGATGTCAGCCGATAGTAGTAAAACGAGGTAAATTTTCATAAAAAATATACTAAATTTTAATTATATACATAATTATTTCTTATTGAAATTATTATTTGTTTTTCTTTTCTTTTCTTAATTTGATTATTTAGGCGTGCTCGTTCAGCATTTGCTCCATCACCAAAATGTAATTTTGGACCCAAAGGCACACTTAAAAAAGTACAAAATAATGATCAACTTATGTTCGTATTATTTAAATATTGATTATTATTAAAGAATAAAGTTGTTTTTTTTTTTCTTCTTCTATTCATAGTGTTATTCAAGATCCATCTAGCCAACGTTTACATTGGATATCTCCACCATATAATATTCTTATTATTCGTAAACCCGG